TTTTTTGGCTTTAGATTGTAAAGGTTAATGTCAGGGTGGTGGGTGTGTTTGGGGTCAACCAATCCCAGTGAAGAGGTACAGAAGGATTTGTATGCTGATAGGAAGATTTGCATTGGAAGCACAACTGTGGGCAAAGAATAACCTTACTTTACAAAACCCAGTTTACCAAGAGTTACAGTGCATTATAGAGAAGATATAACATCTTCCTAATAAAAATGAAAAGATGATTTAATAATTTATGAAGTGTACCCTTTCAAAACACAGCAGCTTATGGTGGCTTATGTTTGCTGGTCACTCAATTCAATGCAGTTTTCATTTGTAAAGCTCCAATTCATAACAAAGAGTTATCTCAGACACTGTTCAAATAGGACAAGTCAGTAGGGGAACCAAACGTCCTTATACCCATTATTAGCAGAGACCCAACATTTCCTACTATGAGCACGCAGTTATGTGGCTAATGGTTAGCTGATACTAGCAAACTTTAGATAAACATTGCTGTTTTACTGAAATTACAGAGTGAGGTCACTGTGCTGCTCTTTTACTATGTTTTAACATGCCAGAGGTAAATCTTCCAATGATTTTATCACAAAAAGGAAACAACATTTAAAAACAATACCTGACCCAGCACAGTGGTTGTCCACGCAAAAGTGTGGTCAGGTGAAATTTAAACGTTCTTTATCTCACACTTTAGGTTGTGATTAACGTTATCATTGGCCGCTTATTCCACTGGTGTGGCCGTGTAGCGCATGTTGATTTTTGTATTATTTCGCTGTACATTAATATAAACATGGTTGAAAAGCTAATGTTAGCTAATATTAGCAAGTTTGCAGGTCACAGCTCCATCAAACAATGCAGGATCAATACACAACTGGAGAAAAATACATCTTATCCCCTTCCTTATTCAAATTGATGGGGAACAAATTTCAGTCTAGTCACATAATGATGATGATTTTAAAGCAACTGACTCAAGATTGTGGGGAAATGAAAGCAAATTTAACATTCCAATACCCTGTTATTGCCACTTGTGGCTGCGGTGTACTTACTTTCCACAGTCTCACTTTAGTGTCTGTATTGACCACAGAAACATTAGGCAAGGAATATTTCAACTCAAGCCATCCCCTTATCATATTCCATAAATATCAGAATCAGAAATACTTTATTGATCCCTGAGGGGAAATATTTTTATTTTTTATTTATTTTATTTTATTTTTCCGAATCAGAAGTGTTCAACCACTCCTCTCACTGTATCTCTGACTCTCTCTTTCAGAGAAATTGTGTCTCCCACGTCGTATCTTCTGTCCAGTAAAAGTGAGCGGGCCAGTGTGTGTGTGTGACTACCAGTTCAGTGACGAGGACCAGTCTGAGGTGACTGACAGGTTGAAGGAGATGCTGGACATTGACGCAGCCGAGGAAGCTTTGGATACCAGGCAGGAACTGCCTGCTGAAATCCTAGAGAGAGATGTTGCAGCAGGTAGGGAAGCAGTGTGCGTCTGCCAAAACATAGTTGTTATTCAGGGCCCTCTGGGATGAAAGTTTTCATTCTCTTTTTTCTTCCCCACGTGGACATGATACTTTATTTCACTTATAGCAGTCAGGTAGCACGCTTTCCACCTTGCAATTCACTCCATATTGAGTTTGGAGACTGCATCAACTATGAACAGCTAATTGGTCACATAAAATAAAAAAACTGTTATAAGCAACTATAGCACTGTTTCTACGGATGGAAATCAGATAATTCCTTTACCTCGCCTGCAATAACCTCGATGTAACCTACATACACCTGTCCAGTAACCCTGTTAGGCCGATCCTATTCAGCCATGGACAGTTATTATATTCAGACCGGGCGGCAAAGGGGCTCTAACCTACATCTACACAACACTGGCTACAAGATCAGCTAACACTGTTTGTTCAACATCTGAGCTCACAGACTATTAATCTACATGCTTTCAAGATGTGTCCACAGTTTTGGGCACAGGAGTTTCAGCAGCAGCTTACCTTACTGCAGTCTGCTGTCTGTAATCACCTACTCCAAAACTGATACATATGCAAAGTTCATGGTGATGAAGGATCAGTGTGAGAGAGAAGTCGGTCACTTCTGGGTCATTGTGCTGTTAGAGATTTCCTGATTCCTTTTGTTCTCTAATGCTGCACCTTATCTTATCTTACCATATGTATCAGAATATTTGCAGACAGGAAATGAGGCACAGATAGGTAAATGTGTGTCTAGTGATTATTATCAAAACGTTTCAGTGATACCTGATTTATAACTAATTCATTGATCAATGAGAAATACCTCTTTTTTTATTTTATTGCAAATAATAATTACATTTACAGTATTTTATTTGAGTATTATCTATTAGTATATTTTTAATACATATTAGGTCTAAGTGCCTATGCATCTTTTCAACTATTTTATACAACTTCCTTGAATCTGTGGAACTTGTTAGCAGGGCTCGGACCTTGCTATTTCTAAAATCCTGGCTACGGCCCTGAGTGAACTGTATTATCTACTGTCTTGAAAAGGTATTTAATTTGTCAATAAAAAGAGGGTTTTTACTTGTATGCAAGACTTCAGAGAGCAACAATATTCCTGTGGCAGCAGCGCAGGGCATTAAAAAGATATCATTACCTTTGCTGTTTGTACTTGTATCCATAAAGTCAAACTAAAATGGAAATAAACTCTCAAACATTTTCATTTCCACAGCTGAACAATGTTATTTGTAAAATACAGGCGGACAGTTAAAAAAAGCTGTGTGAGCTCTCTGATTTACAGAGCTTGTTCTCTCACTATGCATTTGGTCCTAATGTTCTTGACCACAAAATCTCAGTCATATATATATATATCTGATATATGCCAGGGAAAAAATGGGATTACTGGCTAGCTGAAGTTAGGTTACAACTGGGCTATTGCAGGCGAGGGAAAGGAATTCTCTGATTTCCATCCGTAACTTAATTTTTCCAGTAAGCCCGTTTGAGTTACTGAGAAATAATCGGATTATAGTTTGTGAAATTGTGTGTTGTTTGCTTCCAGAGCCCACTGAGGAAACTATTAAAGCACCGGAGCCCAAGAGGAATAACTACATTGGTAAAACACTTTCCACTGTAACGCCTACAGTTAGCTTTAGAAAGATTCTCATAACGTCACCGTAACAGCCAAGAAAAGCAAAATTTTATATATTCACAATTAACTTCTGCCAGCTCTTTAAAATAGAGTCTTTACAACATAGTTAACATTAGTAGACATTACTACTATGCTACTATATCTAGACTGTGGATTTGGAAAAATATGTTTCAGAAAGTTTAAATCAATAAATCCCTCTTAGCAGCTATTTTAATTGGTTCTTACAAGCACACAGCGCACATACTTGCATAATGCATGTTTTTCCACAGCATGCACTGTATATGGGATAGCTTTCTCTATATATAGAAAAGGGAAGGTGGCAGAATTTAATTAGATTGTGTGTAATGTGTATCAGATCAGCCTTCTTGTTTAGTCTTTGACTTCACAGTGCGTGTTAGTCTGTTAGAATCTTATTATTATATTATATTATAATATATAATTATATATTATATTATTACTAGTACAATTACTGTACTAATAATCAAAAACAAAAAAAATCTACTATGATATACCAGTTATACTTAACACCTTTTTAAAATTGTCACAAGTTAACTAGTTGAAATTATAACCATAAAGGTAAAATGTGCATGTTTGTGCGGGCACTGTCCTGATTCTCCTGTGTTGTTTAGGTGTTGCCATGGCTTCTGCTGTTGCCCTACTTGCCACTGCTGCCTCCATGCTCTATCTGAGTGACGTTTAATACACATATATGCACACACCAAATAAAGTGTTTGTTTGTTAACATTTCTACCAAGTGTCTGTTTGTTTAATCACAAAATGTAGCAGTAAAATCTAATTAATTTAACAGACTGCAACCTGTTTCTGACTTTTACTATTATTCCTATTAAGTGAGCTCTTCTATATTACATCATGATAACAATCTTTTAAATTATTGTGTAATGTGAATTGGGTAGCTCATAGTGAATTATCACCAACTCTGTAGGTAAGAGAAACTAAGGGAGGTGCATATTATGAAGAAAAAGGGGGCCGAGCATTGATCCCTGCGGTACCCCAGCGGAAAGTAAGAAGAGTCTTCTCCTTGCATTCCAACTTAAAAAAAAAATAATAATTGTGAGATTTTACACAGACAGGTGATACAAGACAGACTTTACACATTGTGTGACCAAAAAAACAAACAAAAAAATGAAGACAAATAAATCAACAAGGGTTAGATTTGGGATAGATGAAATGGGTACAGTGCAGCCTATTGTAAAGGATTCCAGTGTATCTATGAATGTGTGTGTTGTTGTGTGTATTTGTAAGTGTTGAGGAGCAACAAGGGGAAGTGGTTCATTAGCTGAGAAAAGGAAAAGAAGAAGAAGACAGAAAAAAGAAAGGCTAAAAAGTACGTATGGGGCAAGAGTAAAAGAAAAAGAAAATAAATAAATGAGTAGAAAAATAATAATAAAGAAAGAAAGGAAAGAGATGCATTTCCACTTTTAACAATCTCCCTGTAAAGTAGGACTCATACCAGAGTAGCGCTTGTACTCAAGATGCCTAGTTCAGATAGTCCCTAAGCTGTCCCAGCACTGAAATAAGCAAGAAATAGAAAATCCATAATTGGTAATGCTTACTTTAGCAAAAACTGTAGGTACAGCACTGCTCAGACAGTGAGCACATTATAGAGGTATAAACTAAGAGATATGTCTCCATTCCTGCCACAGTTCCATCTGGACTTCATAGTGTGTTTTTCTCTCTGTTCATATAAAAAACAATAGTAACATACTCAGTAAAACAGTATAGATCTATATTGAGACCCAGCCTTCTTGCCCTCCTGTTGCAACCACATGTAAAATGTTCTAGGTGCTCGTCCTTCATTGGATTACAGAAAAAGAACATTACAGACATTCAGTATGTAATTAATGTTTTACTTGATAAAGGTTTATAGTATGTCTATTAAGCATGCTTACAAAGAGGAACAGAAAAGTGGAAGAGAGCAAGGAAAGAGTTACACAACACAAATGTATTTTTAGGAAAAAATATGCATAATGCTGAGCTCCACTCGCCTCACAAGAGGTGGAGTTTGGACCTGACAGTTTACTATGGTCATTGTTTGATTTATCCAGAGCTCAGGTGCAATGCACTAAGAGACCTGCCTGCCGCCCGGCTCTGCTGAACTTCGATCTGCAGAGAGCGATATCAGTGTCTGTCCATCTACCTTATCAACAGATTAGTCGGAGAAAAAAAACAACTTTTTAACCTGCTGTCCAACTGTTAGTGAGAGGAGTGGGTCTGATAAGGACAGTCAGCTCTCAGATAGTTCAGTTCCACTTTGGAGCAGAGCAGTCCCGGACAGTGTTTTGGACCTCTGATCCAGAAGCCAAGGAGAATCTCCAGACAATCTTCAGAGAGCATTTGAAAGATTGTATTCCCAAAACCAGGCAGAAGCATCATGTTAAGCAAAGATCTTCCAGATATTGAGGTAAATTACTGGATGTATATCGGTTTCTTGTTTTACATTTTCCCTCAGCAGGATTCTGTATATGTGTATCTACAGGTGGCAAATAACCCTGTGTGGACTGTAAATCTAGCTCAGCCATGTATCTATGCCAGTATTACTCTTTATGATATAAATTGACAGTGCACAATGTGGTACATAATATCAAAATGTTTATACTTTTTTGATCATGTTGATGGTTGTTTTGTTGATCACTGACTGAAGGTCATTACCACTACCAGCACAAACCTTCTAGAAAGTCATCTTTTGATGGGACCACAAACCTCATATGATCATGTTTGGTGGCAGAGTAACTCCTCTGACAGGGTTTTTGTTGTTATACAACAGTGTGTAAGAGAACGTCTAAATCGTGGTCTATGCACCTGTTTGAAAATACCGTAGTAGAACAAAGTCACCATAAATGAGCTGATTAGCAACTTCAAATAACCTCACACTTAAAGTCCTTAGAGGAATGTTCACGAGTACAAATCGGATTCCTCTTGTTTCATTTGGGGCTTAGCCTCCATCAGTTGAGACAGAACACTAATCTGAGGCCTCTCAAGGGGGCTACTCTCTAGAGTAACTACCTCAACCTATAGAAACTCAAAAAGCCGCAGCAAAGGGCCACAGGTCAAATTTAAACCCAAGGCCACTGCAGCAAGGACTGCAAAAAAGTGGAGGCTCTGAAATGTACTCAAAGTGTAATAGTAAAAAGTACTGGTTTCTCTAAAGGACTTTTATACCAGCGGTTTCTGGACAAAGCTAACTGAAACTACAAACAGGGTTGAGTCTCCCTCCTACAGTCAGCTATCATTATGATAAGTGAAGCACTGAAACCTGACTTTAAAGCTGCAAATGTCTTGCCCCAACAAACATATCATTGGACCTATGTAGTCCACACACCTTTAAAGTTCATGCAAAGTTGTTACTGCTGTTTGCCTTCCTCAGTTAACTGCGATGGTATATTCCTCTCTGTTACAAACTGACTTTGTTACTTATGGGTAGATTTCAACATTCAAATATGGCTGACAGCAGCTATAAAGGCCAATAGAGTTGGTGAGATATATAACAGAACATACACACTGATTTTGGGGATTATTTCTTAAACAACCTTTTGCTCTGCCACTTTAACATGTCTCAGCAGTATGGATCAAAAGGATAAAAAGCCATCTTATTAGTCTTAATATGGCTTTATGGTCTTATGCAACAGGCCATGTGTTGTAGAAGCTATAGATAAGTGACATATGGTCCGAGTGGAGGTATGGTGTGCACATGTAGGGATGGGGCAATAGTTTCATTTGACATCATAAAAATCTGCATTTTGCCCTTTATATGTTTTGAGTTCCTATATGCATGAAGGACATGATAATGTGATAATTAACCTTAACCTTAACCTAACCTAACCCTAACCCTAACTAACCCTAACTGCCACATAATGCAATAACTTAACAAAATATAACAAACTCCCTCTCTAAATGGGTTGAAAGTGGTGGTGTGCTGTGTGTTGAGATGTGCTACTTAGCAGTTCTGCACATATACGTGGGTTTGGGGTAGGTTCTGCTATCAGTTCGTACTACGGTAGCTTGTTTCAGTCCTCAGAACGCCAGGCCTTGTGGTCATTCGGGGTGCGCATGAGAGTCTGCTGTGTCACTGTTGACATGTGCTTATGCCCCACCGACATAAACCTTGACCTGACAGCTTATCATTATCTTATCATCTTGACCCCAACCATCCAAACAAGCAAACTTCCTAGAATGTTCCAAATTCAGTGTTTTTGTCAGCAGATCTCAGTGTGTGCCGGCTATAAAGACAGATAACAGTTCATGGGAAACGGAAAGCAACATGTGTTTCAATTTATAAGCCACAATTCTAAACCTTTTGGTCAGCAAAAGAATACCATTTATAAAACAAAAACTTTTGCACAGGTCTTGACATAGTGTGTGACATGTTATTCCAAATGGTCAATATCAAATGATAAACAATATAATAGTTTGGGATAAATTTCTAAAGTACTACACATGAAGACAGTATACATCCAGTGGACACAGAGATGTGAAAGAAATCATTATGATGATGCCAAACATTTTCTGTCCTTGTTTCTCTTTTTTATAAAAAAAAAAAAGAAGCAATAAACAGCTTTGCAGTGATTTGGGGGATGACAAAATTGGAAAATAATATCAATACCATTTGGAGTAACTATGGAAGTTGATCAAAGCAAATTATTTACATTTTCTTGTGATGATGGGATACGTTTTCCATTATCTCAGCAAAACAGTGAGAAATGTTCTTTTATTAAATTTCTGTTATCACAAAAAATGGCTTGATATCCTGAGATAATGACATAATTATCTTGTGATTTCTCGATGTCTACAACACATTTTTATACCACCAAATAACTTTTCTGGCACTCTTGAAATAGCTAACCCCTGAATACTTAACAGAGAACGACACAATACGGTTCTGTTTGTGTCTGTCAGAATGTAAGAATCAAGAGTTTTTATTGATGTGTTGATCTTTTTCCACATAATTACACACAGAGCATCCTGGCTCTGAATCCCAGGGTGAAGACTCATGCTCAGATCATGTCCACGGCGAACAAGAAGAAAGAAAAGAAACACTGGAAAAGAAACCCTGATAGGAACTGTGATGTAAGACACACACAGAAACACAGAAACACACACAACTCAGCTTTGGTGCATGGTTTAGTCAGTAACGTTTGTTCAATATTTTCTTCCTCCGTCTTCCATTTTTCCACTCTTTCTTTCAGTCTTGCGTCAAATTAGAAAACAACTTTGATGATATCAAACACACAACGCTCAGCGAGCGTGGAGCTCTACGAGAAGCACTGAGGTAAGAATGAATGACTTTCAACTGATTTGTAACACACTGTCGTATTGAACAGGCTAAAGATTCTCCATGAGGAAGATCTGTTACAATTGCACCACCTTTACATAATAACACATCAGTTTAGACCATGGATGTAGCCTATTAATGAAAACTGCAACATTGGAGGTGGAGGTTCTGTCCATTCCTATAAAAGCTGTTCAGTGGTACATGAAGCCAAAAAAGTTTGATGTTCAGGTATAAAATTACCAAGATCTTCCACGTATGCTTCTGCACCATGCTTTCCAAACCATATAACGATGGACAACGCCTCTCCACTTCCTTACATTGTATAAAAATGAAACAAAAATATCCCAGATACAGGAACTGCCATCATGCGCTGGTGACATTATTTGGAGCCAGAGTCTGTGATCGGTGTTGGAAACAAGGTTGCCCATACACCTCAATCGTAGAACTACCTAAAATATGACATAAACCATTTATTTATATTTTAATTGAGTTCTGCCAGTGTCCCATCTGCTAACATGGAGGGGGCGAGGTTTATGACCTATACTGCAGCCAGACACTAGGGGGCAAAATAGGTGTTTCACTTTTGGGAAGCTGTCATGTCATCTATCTTATAGACAGTCAATGGTGTAGACCTGCAGATGAAGACACATTGATGTTGCCTCCTACAGGCAAAAAAGTAATAGCAATTTTAACACTTGTGCCTCCTGCAGGCAAAGAGTGTTACTGCAGCAGTGTCTGGCGATGTTCAGCCAACTGTTCCACCCCGTGGTCTGGACTAAAATATCTCTGCAACTATTGGATAGATTGTCATGGAATTTTACACTGACATTCGTCCTCCCCACATTATGGGAGCACCCTGACTACAGTTTGTTTTGTTTTGTTTGTTTAGTGCTAATTAGCAAATGCTAGCCTGCTAATGGGCTAAACTAAGACGGTGAACATCATAACTTGGTTAAACTGTCAAAGAAAAGTAAAATCTTTGTTTAGGTGTCTAAAATGTGCAGATGCTCCCTGTCAGAAGAGCTGTCCTACTAACCTGGACGTAAAGTCATTTATTACAAGCATCTCTAATAAGGTAATGTAAAACATATACAGACAAACACATTCATGTGTCCATGCATACATTCTTTCATGAATGCCAGTTCTATGACATGAAAGTCTTATAAGATGTTGAAAAAACAAAATTAATGAAAAACAGTACAATTGAAAGAAACTGATAAGGAGCAGTACGTCAAAATGATCAGATATGTGTGTGTGTGCATGTGTGTACCAGAACTACTATGGGGCAGCACGAGCCATCCTTTCTGACAATCCCCTGGGTTTGACCTGTGGAATGGTTTGTCCCACATCAGAGCTGTGTGTGGGGGGTTGCAACTTATATGCTTCTGAAGAGGGACCCATTAACATTGGAGGGTTACAGCAGTTTGCTACAGAGGTAAAACATCTATAGCTGTTAAGTTTTCTGTATAAAGCATATAATTTCTAGAATTTTCTTTGAAAACCAGAACTGCTGAAGTTTATAACTGTCAAAGAATATAGTAGTCATGTCACCATTATTTGATTTCTATGCTATTCAAAGGGCTGGATAATTGCATTAATTCAAATTTTTATATATTTTTTTCTTTCTAGGTGTTTAGTAAGATGGGCATCGCTCAGATCAGGAATCCTGAACTCCCACCAGCCAATGAGATGCCAGAGTCTTACCACACCCCTATAGCTCTGATTGGTTGTGGCCCAGCGTCAATCAGCTGTGCTTCCTTCTTGGCCCGTCTTGGATATGATAACATTACCATATTTGAGAAACAGAAGTACACTGGAGGGCTGAGGTAACATCTAATCATAATCATACAGTATATTGTATCATATCAAAGGTTGGGAAGTATGATATTAGATTATGTTATATAATTTTATTTGGAAATTTATGGGTGTTAATAAGGGGCATTGGATTAAGGCAGGTCTCTCTGACAAGGACAGAATGTTTATAATCATCAAAACCAGAAATAACAGACTCAGTGACAATGTTGACAATGATTCCTAAAACCTCTTAAACAAAAGAAAAATAAAGTAAATTCAACTAATGTGTTTGCCTCCCTGCAGTATATCAGAAATCCCTCAGTTCCGGCTTCCCATTGAGGTTGTCCAGTTTGAAATAGACCTGATGAAGGACTTGGGAGTCAAGGTACTCCTATCATACATATTTTCTGTGCCCTTAATATCAATACTGTAAAACTGTAAGATTTTCAAGATTTAATAATCTTCATCCGTCAGCTTGCAGTGAAATATGATACCACTTTAAAATGAATTGTCAGTACCAAAGATCAAATAATTAGCATTGCTTCATGGTACTGGATAGTCTTGAACACTACGCTACGATCTTCTTGATATGTTTAACCCTAACAGTTTTGTTAAATGTTTGTGTGTGTGTGTGTGTACACAACAGGTGGTGTGTGAGAAGGGTCTAGGTATTGACGGGATGAATCTGTCGTCCTTGAAAGAGGAAGGATTCATGGCTGTCTTCATCGGGATTGGTGAGGGACTCTTGTGAAACATTTCAGAAAATAGTTCATTTGCATTTTCGCAATATAAAGTTAATCCATTGGGGTTTTATACCTTTTTATCATCTTTTACTTATGGTTTTACATAGTAAATGTGTGTGAGTCCTCTGTTTTTAAGTTTGCGTAATTGTTCAAGTTCATAATGGACATACCGGAATTTTTGGACTGCTCCGTTAACTCTTTTTCTTCAAATGTACCTTGTTTTTGCGTGTGTGTGTGACTCCAGGTCTTCCTCAGGCCAACAGAGCTAAAATCTTCCAGGGTTTAACAATGGATCAAGGCTTCTTCACTTCCAAAGACTTTCTGCCCATGGTGGCCTCAGCCAGCAAGAAAGGTATTGAACACACACAAACAATCACACACACACGCACACAAAGCATGCACACTAAAGCCTGACTGATATATTGTTTGGCAGATATTATCAGCCGATATTGGACCATTGCAGAAATATCTCTATCATATTGGTATCAGTGTATGTTATCCATTATGTGCCGATTTTATTCCCCGTATATAATATAGTAAAAACAGGTTGTGGTAATCTATTGTTGTCAGTGCAATGTTTATCCAGCAGAGAGCGCTGTGGTTTACAATACTGTGGCAAGCACAAGAGTAAGACAAAAGAAGCAACTCTCAGCAATGTCAGCTCAAATTGGTCGACATTGTCTGTGTTAAATTATTTAACACGTTAAAGATAATAAAGTTTAATAAAGTTATTTGTTTAAGAAAGCAGTCTTCTCTGCAGATTCATATAGGTTTATGTTCACTCCAGCTCAAATACTCACTATATCAGTCATCATATCAGTAATAAATAAGTGAATTTTTCGGGGCTCTGATGTGCACACATCAACCATTTGGAGCCAATACACAAAAAACACACACAGATGTGTTTTCGCTGGTGGCATCCCTTTAACTACCAAACATATGCAGGTATTAATGAGGAGATTGTTTTAATTTAATTTATCAGAGACGATCTCTCACTACCATGTAGGGTGTTGCGTATCGATATTGATGATAATCATGATATTTAAAAATTAAATATGGACATTGTGATAATAATACACATATTGTGTAAATAATCCAGCGCCTCTCAAATCATTTCTGTTCCTGCTTTGTGTTTCATACTCCAACATAGTAGTAGCTAGTGCACCTTAAAGCTGGTTGCTTACAGAGCTGTTTTAAAAGAGAAACAAAGTTAAAGATGACTTTGTCTCATAGCATTATTTTTTTATTTCAAATGTTTTATAGATATTGTGATATTGCTGATATTGTGACTACCCTACTACCGTGTCTCTCTGTCTCTGTCTCACTCTCTCCAGGTATGTGTCAGTGTCGCTCTTCTCTGCCACAGTTAAGAGGCGTAGTGATAGTTTTGGGAGCTGGTGACACTGCGTTTGACTGCGCCACCTCGGCTCTTCGCTGTGGAGCCAAGAGAGTCTACGTCTGCTTCAGGAAGGGGTTCACCAACATCAGGGCTGTTCCAGAGGAGGTACAGATAAGGGATGGATGGATGGACAGAAATATAGGCAGATGGACACATAGACAATACTGAACACATGTCTTTTCCTGTTAGATGGAGTTGGCCAGAGAGGAGCTGTGTGAGTTCCTTCCCTTTCTGTCTCCTCGTGAGGTCATCATGAAGAACGGTCGGGTTGCCGGGTTGCAGTTCTGTCGCACCGAGCAGACAGAGGAAGGCGACTGGCTGGAAGACGAGGACCAGGTTGTCAGGCTGAAGGCTGATTACATCATCAGTGCCTTTGGTTCCATGCTCAACGAGCCGCAGGGTAATTAACCAATCACTAACTGGCCGACAATTAGCCTTTGGCCTGTACTAATATGAGTCAGAAGATGACGAAAGAAGACGAAAAAAAAGTGAACTTTTTTCAGAATGTTTTTCACAGATGAAAAAAAGAAAAACTATTTAAAAAAATGCTCCTGAGTAAAAACCAATGTCACCAAAGTAAACTTTGAAAAAAAATTCACTTTCCTTTTGGGGCTTCCGTAGTTTTGTGAAAGGTATCTGTTTTTATATGTTGTCTGTATTTTTTTATATATATATAATAAAAGTATTATTTATAAAAGTAAAATGGGTATTTGAAGGCTACTGCAGATGATTTGCACACCATTTCCAATTTTCTATCTAGATCTTTTTGACTTGACTTTGACATTTATTGAACACAGGATGACTGACATAAGAAAATGTTGTCATCCAATATGGCTCACCACTAAGTCCTGGTCGATTGGTCTAATCGACTGTGGAAAAAGCAATATAAAATATATATTTGCATTGTTACATAACAAAAATTTAATCTTTGAGTTGTTACTGATTGATACAGTAGGTGTTTTCATACATAACCTGATCCATATTCCGTTTCTGTGTGTAGTGACTGAGGCCATGAGTCCCGTGAAGCTGACCCGTTGGGGTACTCCCGAGGTGAACACAGACACCATGCAGACCAGTGAGCCCTGGGTGTTTGCCGGAGGAGACATCGCCGGTTTGGCAAACACCTCGGTGGAATCAGTGAACGATGGCAAACAGGCCTCCTGGCACATTCACAGATACATACAGGTACATTTGTTTATGCTTTACACATCTTTAAAATTCAAATGTAATTCAACTGCATTCAGTGACAGCAAGCTTAGACACTTATGTATCATCTCAGTTGAAATTTGTAGTTCATTCTTAAGAATTTAGCTTGTAAAACTTGATTTACGAGTAATTTAGGGGACTTGCGTTTTGGAGTCCGTTCCAAGAGTACATCATAACGTATTCAACTCAAATAATTGTGTCCCTTTCCCCTTGCAGTCCCTGCACGGACAGACGGTGGACACAGTTCCGAAGCTGCCGTTGTTTTACAGTGCTATAGATCAGGTGGACATCAGTGTTAATGTTTGTGGAATAAAGTTCCCCAACCCGTTCGGCCTGGCATCTGCTCCTCCCACCACCAGCACAGCTATGATCAGAAGAGCATTTGAGCAAGGATGGGGCTTTGCTCTGACCAAGACGTTTGGACTGGATAAGGTGCAGCACACACATGCACACATACATACACTGAAACAATGTAAGGTACCAAGCAAGCACATAGAGTTGCACACTAGTGCACAAAAGAAAGAGATTTCTTTACCTAAAAGTGTTTTTAAAAAAGCATAGCAGAGGTAAAAGGCAAAACCTTTAAGCTATTTTGGATTTAACACATTTCTAATTTCTACCTAAACACATAATAAAATAAAGGTTAACGATTACATTTTAGAAATGATTCAATTAGTAACTTAACAAAAAGAACTAACCTACCAACAGCTGAATGTGGCCAGAAGTGGAACCTTCTTGAGCCCATTTTACTGCTGATATTTTGTCTTGTTCACTTTGCTGCAAAAGTATAAATCTAAAGTCTAAATTTAGTCAGTACTTAAATCAAACAAAGAATGTTTTATCTAAACAAAAGTAGTAAAAAATGCAATTGCCAATAATTTTCTTGATGGTTTAGTCTGTGGATTGTCAGAAGAAATAAAAAATGTCCATCACAGTGACGTAAAGATAAATTTAACTTGTTCAGAAATCAGAAATATTCATATCTGAGAACCTATTTTTTTGGCAGTTTTTACCTAAATAATTTATTGATTCTAAATATGATTCCCAATTGATTTTTGGTCCATTGATTAATGGACTCAATGGAAGGCGACAGTAGAAAAAATACCATTGTAAGGTAATAAAAACACAATGATTACTAATGAATTAATGAAAACACACCTATAAATGCCAATAGATCCTCCTAAATGTTACATACTGGAACAGGTAATATGTAGGCAATACTGGAAACATGCTCACTTACATGCATAACATAGAGCTACATTTTCCATTTAGTCTCTCAGTTTACCACAGGAAGCACTGATTGCCCAGACAGCCGAGTGAAAAGCTCATCAACTTCTCACAGCCACCACTTTCAATTCCTCTGATTGGTCTCTATAAATGTGTGTCTGCAGGACCTGGTGACCAACGTGTCTCCTCGTATTGTGCGTGGCACTACCTCAGGTAATGTGTACGGACCGGGTCAAGGCTCCTTCCTCAACATCGAGCTCATCAGTGAGAAGACGGCAGCATACTGGTGTGAGTCGGTTACCGAGCTAAAGAAGGACTTCCCTAATAATGTAAGTTTCAGGTGTTTGTTTCTTTGGGCCTTGACTTCTCCTTTACTGAGAGCATGAAAAGCATAAGTGACAACAAAGGACAACGGAAAAAGAAAGTACCCCGTCATCAGTTTATTTGACACAAGCCTTAAAATGTATCCATGCACCCACAGACGACTCCAAATTCTCAACCCTCTCATTTTATTCAGAGTTTTCATCGTTTCATCAATAAAATGCAACTGTAGCAAGTAACTTGCTATCACTATCCTTATTTTATATTCTTGTCTAATTGCATTGGTGTGAACTGGCAGGGTTTCAGAATATTGCAGACCATTGTGTTGCAATTAGTTGCAAGTTTCAGCTTGTCTCGTCTGAACTGGGCGTTGTTGCTAAATTTGTGAAATTATTTGCATTGTCTGATCGAACACCACAGTGAGATCCATAATCGTCACAGGTTTTGCTAAAGTCATTGTGTCTGTAACATCATGTGTGACGGATGGAAGGATGGACCGACATGGTTGGACACTCTCAGTCTCTTACCTTTTCCTACCTCTTCATCAGGTGGTGATCTCCAGCATCATGTGCAGTTACAACAAGGAAGACTGGACAGAATTAGCAACGATGGCAGAGGTGAGGAAAAGCCCCACACAGCAGTAACAACATCTCCACCATTCACAGAAGGCACACAGTACAACACAGGTTCCAACTGAGTGCCGTTTGTGAGTGTGTAAAACAGAAAAATGTTTGTGTTTAGAAATCAGGAGCCGATGCATTGGAGCTGAACTTGTCTTGTCCTCATGGGATGGGAGAGAGAGGAATGGGACTGGCCTGTGGACAGGTACACACACACAGACACACACACACACACACAGATGCCATTCTGATTACAGCACATGCACATGTCATAAGCCTACAGTATACATCAACATACTGTGTAGTTGCAAACATACTGCGTCAAAATTTGATCAATTGAGCCATATAATAGAACAGTGCAACACTGTAACCCCCTATAATAGCCACACCCACGTCAGATTTAACCATCACCCATTCCGGATTTTGGATACAAATATAGACAGTTTAGTTGGTTGAACAGATACAGGTAATGGTGTAGTAGCTCATCCCTAATGGACATGTTGGTGTTCTTATGTGTCTTTGTCATTAGGATCCGGTGTTGGTGCGTAACATCTGTCGGTGGGTGCGGGCAGCCATTTCCATTCCGTTCTTTGCCAAACTGACACCAAACGTTACCAATATCGTCGACATTGCCAAGGCTGCTCATGAAGGTACACGCGCTTCACCACAGCACACTTACTTCTCTTGCTCCATATCATTTTACATTGAACAGTGGAAATAATTTAAAGACCCCCTCCATACATGTATTAAGACATATATACAAATAGTCTGCTTGGAACAGTAATGTGTGTCTGATATGTTTTTTCCACAAAATAAGAATAATTTTCACATTAAAATCCTTAAAAGGTAATGTTCTCCTTTCACCTCATTAAAGCTTCCAAAATCTCTGAATATGCAAATGTTGTTGATTTCTAAGGTTGCATACTGGACCAGGACTTCCTAACTATTTGTGATATCACAAATCATGCTTGTCAAACTTTGCACAGACATCATTCAAACAGCACACTGTAGGAATAAGAAGATACACTGATTTCTGACTGGAGGGGACTTTTTGACAATGTATGTATTGTTGTCACTGCTATGTTGTTTTACAGGTGGAGCAGATGGAGTAACAGCCACCAACACAGTCTCAGGTATGATGGGACTGAAGGCCGATGGCACCCCCTGGCCGAGTGTTGGAAAGGGCAAACGCACCACCTATGGAGGGGTGTCTGGTAAGGACACACAAAAACACACACACACACAGTCCAATGTAACTGTTTTGTACCAGTAGTTATGGAAGGGTGCTTGATAATAATAGTAGTATTTGTGCAGGTAATGCCATCAGACCCATTGCTCTCAGAGCAGTATCGGCCATTGGCAGAGCAATTCCCGGTTTCCCGATTCTGGCCACTGGTGGTATCGACTCGGCAGAGACTGGACTGCAGTTTCTTCACGCTGGGGCCTCAGTGTTACAGGTATTACTATTTATATTACTGTGACACCTACCTGGGGACAGTCACTGTTCATATGATGCAGTTGTTGTTCACTACATCTGTGTTGTTTTTCTTAAAAACACTGTATATTATATAAGTGGCGTTTTTATGGATGTTTCATCTACACTTAATGCAAAACAATAACAGTAGAGAACAGCTGATCAACTGTACAATGAACCTAAACAGTGAACTCAGTAACTCCAGGAAGTTTGTGTAAAAACCAGAGATCTGAGAATTTTGATCAGAGATGAGTTTTTCTGATATTTGTAGGAACTTTTATTAATTAAATTGAATTTTAAATTGAATTTAATTAAAATTCTCAATTCTATATTATGTATTTATCACTTTTTAAACAATAATACATACTTAATAGGCTTCTTTCTTTGACAAATTGTTTTCTTCTCCCTGACACTTGGCCATTGTTCTTTTAGCTCTTTTTTTGTTTTAACTGCGTACTTTTCCAATGCAGGTCCAAGTTGTTTATCAGAGAGTGAAGGCTCTGTGAATATAGTTTGTGTTCAGGTCTCCAATGTCTGACTTTTGGAGTGGCAGTGACTGAGTCAGTAAACTGATTTGAATGACTGACATGAATCCATTTATGTTTCTACTGACAATCAGATTTAAAGCAAAAATCAAATCTAAAATTGTTTGCTTGTTGATGTTTGTTTGTCTTCTTGCGTCTGATTGCCACAGGTGTGCAGCGCAGTCCAGAACCAGGACTTCACAGTGATTGAGGATTACTGTGTGGGTATGTAACTGTATGTAATGAAAACACATAGAGCAAATCTAACATATTTGACCCTAAAACAACGAGTGACCAATGACAACAAACATTTCTAGGCGTATGTATGGCCTCAACAGACTGAACTAACCACCAACATAAAAAGGTTCCAGTGTGTCCAGACGCTACTGCTTTCAGATATTGAAACTATGTGTGTCCAGGTTTGAAGGCCTTGCTGTACCTGAAGAGCTTGGAGCTGAAGGACTGGGACGGTCAATCTCCCCCAACAGAGAAACATCAGAAGGGAAAACCAGTTCCCAGACTGGAAGACCTGGTCGGACAGGTACCACTACTTACTACCAATAATACTAATACTAGTGACTACTACTGGATTGTTCGCGCCACTACTGTTTAAGAGAAGTAACTCCAATTGGACTGGCTGTTTGGTCTTTAAAAGAGACAGGCTTTGTGGGATCAGTGATGGGTTTTTTTTCCAAAAGCTTTGCTCCTCTTCTCATGGCCTTCATCAGAGTAAATGCTCAGTTGAGGCTGAAACGTTAGCATGTTCTTCTGACATGGCATAAGCTTTGTTCCCTTTGGGACTGAGTCTGAATGCTGGAATTGGAGGAGAGGTACTGAGACTGCACCTCTGTCTGAGGCTGAAGACCTGGACTGTTTGTCCGTCTCATAGTCAGAGTATTCATTCATAGCTACTTGTTTATCCTGAACATCTTCATAGAATTTCTACTGCCATCGTGCTATGTCTGTTATTATTACTGAAAACACCAGCGCAACCATTTAGTTTGGTAGAAAAAGTTAACTAACGTGTGTGTGTGTGTGTGTGTAGAGCCTCCCCAGCTTTGGTCCATACCTCCAGCAGAAGACAGAAGCCATCGCAGAGTACAAGAAAAAGCTCAGAGACACTGGTGAGACTGAAGCGGTGGAAGCCAACATAAACCAGCCCGCCCAAAGGGTCAGCATGCCCAAAAAGCCTGTTCCGGCTGTCAAGGTACACACACACACACACACACACTCATACTCACTGTTCCTGTATTATACTTCAGTTCTGTGAAATAAGACAGAGATAACAATTTGTTAACCAAGGAAATGTGTGCATACTGTGTATGTATATGTGTGTGTTTGTAGGATGTGATAGCCAGAGCGCTGCGCTACATCGGAGCATACCAGGAACTTAAAAACACGGAGCAGGTACCCATTGTTTTCTCAGCCACTGTAGCTGTTTTATATTCTAAGATTTATACAGGAAACATTTGAAGTTAGATTGTTAGACTATAAAATGAACAGAAGCCCAAAGACCATGTGGGAAGTCATTTTTTATAATTCTTTATGATATTCTTGACTTCTCAACATAACCTGCTGATCATCAGATAAACAGCGTTTGAGGTTCTGATCTTTAATCAGCAGAGTAAAGAGCGCCTCTACCAGAGACTGACTTTTGTCTCATACAAGGTCACAATGTAAACTAGTACAGTAACAGCTGACCTCCACATATAAGCAACCAGTCCTTATAAAAATATTCCAGGAATGTGACAGCGATCTTTCATAAACTGGCAGCTGCTGTAGCACCAAGACAAGAACAGAAGAAGTAAAAACCCTGTTGGGTGTTACTGTATGTTGGGTAGAGATGAAGAGTAATAAAACTGACGTTTATCCACAGATAATCACTTTAAAATAAAAAGACTATGAACTGGTCATAATCATGACCCTCCCCTGTGTCCTCAGGTCCAGGCTCTGATAGATGAAGAGATGTGTATCAACTGTGGTAAATGTTACATGACCTGCAATGACTCTGGATACCAGGTATGTCTGTCTGTCTGTTACATAAAGATTGTTGTCTCTTTCCTTTGGCAATAGTCTCTTCCTCTGTTTGTAAAGGTTCTAATAACTTTCGGAAAACTGTTGTTAATAATGACCAGTGGCCGTAAGCGAACTGCAGTGTCCTATTGCTCGCACTCTGTGACATACACAAGACTGAACGCTGGAAAATAAATACCAATCATATTTAGAATAAGGTTCTGCAGTGTTCCTAAATTTTATTTGGAACATTAGTCCATGCTACGAACTAGCTTGCTGTTTACAAATCACCGACACAACGAAGCAACCAACACCAGACCCACACAGCCAGCCCACAGACCCCAGTTTAGCTTAGCTACAGTTCTAATGTTAACCGGCGCCGGTTGATAAAGTAACCCGCAAACAGTACGCAAAGTAGATCAAAGTATTGTTGCTACGTGAGCTAGCTAGCAATTCGTCCGAGCAAGCTAACGTTAGCCAGCTAAAACCACAAAATCCCAATATATTTAACTGTGCAGTAATGTTAGCTTTGATTTTGGATTTTGTGGGACTCGTGTGTTGAACGTTAGCTAGTGTTTCCCGCTGTTGACACTGTGGTCAAGCGGAGAGAGAGGCACTCGAGAACGTGTAAATCGTTCCATCATTTGGATTTTCGCAGAAAATGTGACTCGCATCCCTACACAGAGACACATTGGCAATAAAGAAATATGAATACATACAAATAAATATAAAAAGCTTCAGAATTTTTTGGAATGCTTAAGTCTTATCTGCCTCACGCCTGTAACGTGTCTTTCCTACTGTCTTTCCAGGCTATAGAGTTCGACCCCGAGACCCACTTTCCCATGGTGAATGACAGCTGTACCGGCTGCACACTGTGCCTCAGCGTCTGTCCAATCATAGACTGCATCAAGATGGTTACCAGGACAACACCCTATGAACCCAAGAGAGGTGTGCCCATTAGTCCTGTCTGCTAAAGGGAAAGACAAACCAAAAAGTACCTATTTAATAATGGAGATCAGATATTATAAAGTTCAGCTTTAATTAATCTGCCACGTGATGTTTGAGACATTTGTAAAACTACTGTTATCCAGTCATGTGGACGATGTAAAGAGTTCAAAAAGGTTAAAAAACAGACATTGAACGTGTTTATCTGTTTATGGAAAATTTTGTCTTGATTTGAATACATACTAACACTAATAATATCACTGGAGAGACCTTTTTAAATAATAATAACAATAATCATAGCGAAATAAATGTGTCAGTAATTTAACTGTAATTCAGGCTCAAATTACGTTAGCAATTGTGGATTCGGTTTTGTTGTTATCCCTCTGCAAACACTTTATGTTTGATGTGATGATAGACAATTTCAAATTAACTGTGCATTTATTGTATGTCAAGTGTAATAATGCAAAATCAAATACATCTTTGATATGGTCTATTATTTTAATAAAGGTTATCACGATGCAGCAAATCGTCTGTACACTGAAGCAGATGCTAACACTGTTTGTCCTGTCACACATGTCAGACATCTTGGATTAAACTGGAATGAAACTGGACTTTGCTCTTCAGTATTGTACTGACTGCTCTGAAGGACGAGCACAATTTCAGACAATGGTGGAAGAAGTATTCAGACCCTTTCCTTAAAGGTCCAGTGTGTAACATTTCTATTGGCAGAAATGGAATATAATATTCAGAGGTAGGTTTTCTTTAGTGTATAATCACCTGAATTAAGGAATTGTTTTTGTTACTTTAGAATGAGACATTTTTATCTACAGACACCGCAGGTCACC